TTTGTAATTAAATTCTTTTTATCATTGCTAAGTGGAATTCTGCAATTTAAATATGAAATTATTCAGTAGAATATAATTTTTTATTCCCTTTCAATATCATATGCACTTTTATTATTTTATTTTTTTGTGTATAGCCAAGAAAAAAGTCAATCGATCAAGCACGTTCTGCTGTTGTTTTTTCATCTCTCTTACTCCTTTCATGTGCTCTGAATTGCTCCGTGATATTAGTGCAGAACATGAAGTGAAGAGCTTGTTTATTGATAAAAGAAACGCAGTTTTATAAACATTTGGAGTCACTCAAAAATGATTTACTAGCCTTTTGAGCTAGAGGCACTGCTAGATGATAGATAGATTTTACTGTCCCACACCCATGAGACCTACCAAGACCTACCTAGAGACCTACTAGACTCAAGAAAAGCATGGCTTTCGCCACTAGAGTTTCAAGCAACCAAAATAGAGGCACTACTCAATCTTAATGGCTTTTCATCAGAGAAACGTTTGGTTCACTTAAAGAGCAAAAATTTTTGCAACTTAATTCCAGGGTTGCGATACAAGCACCTAAACACAGGTGAGAACCGTACAATTCCTACAAAAACCGTACAAGTTTTTCAAACAAAACCACGCAAATTCTAATAAAAACCTCACAAATTATCAAGGAATTGTACGGTTTTCACCTGTGCACATGTGCCTGTATCGTAACATTTACTAAGTACCAAATCAGCTCTAAATCAAACTTATACCCAGAGTTGGCAAGCTTCCTGGTGGCCGTCTGCAAAGTCGAGGCATGCCAATTCTACTCATCCCGTTTTATTCACATCCTCAACTTAATACGCTTTTAAAAATCGATATCAACCTGATTGATAGGATAAAATCACCCAAACTGACCACGAAAATCCCACATGATGCTCCAAACTGTTCACAAAAAAATTAAATAAGAAGTGGACGAACGTTTGTTCCTTTACTGTGTATTATGAATAACCGAGAGAAAAAAAAATGAAAATGTATTGCATTGCATCGCGGTCATAAGAAGCCGAATAATGAAAAGAGTAAGCAAGAAAAAAAAAATATGCAATTGTTAAGTCAGGGTTGAATAATTTTTTACTTCTCTTCGAGAAAGAATTATTGGCGTTTGCCTCTGTAGACATCGAATGAGATTCTTTTCTGTACACAGAAATTACCATAACGTTCATAATTTTTTGTGTTTTAATGACTTTAGCATTGCGAAGAGAAGATGAGAGGAGTATGGTGATACGTAAAGATGTAATTTATTTCAATATGTATATGCAGACATTTAGATGTAAGCATACATTCCATCCAACATATATACAAATTGAATTACTTGTTTGAATAAATTCATATTATCTTCAACATGCAAAATGAAAATTCTTGATAACTTATACACAAAATAATGCACATAAGGAGCGTCCATAAAAAGTGAATTTACTCTACCCATGCACCATACACGCTGATGTGTACAAAACAAATTAAAAATGAAAGAGAAAAATCTTTTTTGATATTTTGTGTGCTGTACTTTGCTGATTTTTTTTTATTTTCGTTAATGTAATGCATTCAACTTAAAAGCGCAATCGATTTTGTGTGCTTCCCAGAATGTTCAGTTTCATGAAGAAAGCAAAGCAAGAAGAAAAAAATCATAAGAAGCAAGCGAGACTGTAAAATCGAATAATAAATGATAATATGCGGTTATAAATAAATCGTGAAGGCTCTTTTTGATCTCCTCATTCAATCCACATACAATTCTAGTAGCTCCTCCCTCAAGCAATTTCGGCATTGCATATCAGCACTTATAAATCACTGTATCGAATATGCATGCTGATGGATTCATTCTAAAGCAATAGCATTTATGCAAAAAAGAAGCGGAAATCTTATTTGTGCAACAAACTTTCATCCTATTTCATGTCTAATGGTGATGATATAATTGGCCCTTGTATGTGCTGTTTTAGATATTAGATACAATGTGGTACAATGACTAGATAGTTAAGCGATAGCTTCCATATGTTGTCTTATTTAACTTTTAAAAAAATATATGTAAGAATCTTAATAGACAACATGATGAATTGCTTGCAATAAATGCTCATTGCATACTGGATATAGAAGGAAAAATAATCTCATGACCTTGCCTCAAGTAATTACCGCGCACACATTTCTTCTTCTTGATCGTCTTCTTTATACTTCTCCTTATATTCTCTGTTTCATCTCTTTACTCGCTCTACTGTGTCCATTGTGAGCATTATCAGTTTGATAATATCTCTCGTGACTAATGAGAAGAATTTTCATATGGAAAAGTGCACTAGCATTAGCTTTGGTATAGCACGCGGGGTACGTTTTGTGTCTTTTGCTACATTTTGTTGAATTCTTGGAATTATCAAAAATTCTTGCAATTTATTAACTTTAGCTTCTTTCATAAGAATTAGCCCAAACACAGAACAACGGTTTTTTATTTTTCGAAATCGAAAAAATTGTGTTCGAAAAAGATTTGTTTACATTTAAATTGAAATTTTATTTCACTTATTTGAACTTTATTTCATGTGTTTAAGCTTTTTAAATAGTTTTAGAACATTACTAGACTTCAAATAATGCTACTAAAGTCATATTGGAGTATCAAAAAGCATTAATTAAAGAAAAATTTGTAATTTTGTGTTTCGTACACAATATTTTTGTGAACACACTCGTAAAAAATGCGAGAAATTTCAAATTTATGAAAAAATAACGGAAATTTTTCTCATTGTCCTGAGTTGGAATCGGCCAAAAATAAATTTCTTTGATTCATAGCTGTAGATCCACTCCCGTTGAATAATCCACGAAAAAAATGCACCAAAAATTAATTTTCATCGCCCCGTAAACAATTTCGTCGTCCCTCACCTTCCGTTTTTGATTCTCTTATAACTGGTGCAATATCCTTCTATGGCGTAAAGCATGTTCCACAAATAGATGTAGCAGGTAGCTCATGTGCACTAATTGTGCATTTTTTTCTTCATTAAACTGGTTTTATGTCAGGTCCGTTTGTTGTTATTGGCATGAGATGTAAACTATATAGCTTAATGTAATGTTCTGTGTACACTTTTTTATGCATTTTTAATATTATTAATGTTATGCATTTATGATGCACAAGAAATAAAGATATGAATAAAAAAAAATTTCCCATCAGACTGACTGCGGATAAAGACGAAAAGGAAAAACTCATAAAGGTTTGCTTGATCAGCATAAAGTAATGCTGATGGAAAATAAAAGAGAAAGAGAGCCTGAATATTCATAAATTTCTGACCTTTACGCTCGTTTCAAATGGGAATTGAGGCGTGCACCATGCACACAAAAATATATGGTTTTTTTGCATATACATAGGGAATTACTAAGATATCAGTTAATTGGATTTTTGCAGGTGAACATGCAGAAACAACATTCATCTTCTTATGCAGCGCAAATTGAGGCTTCTCTGATGCAAATTTTCGACTTTTTTTCTGTTTTGTTTCTTTACTTTATTCCTCTTGATGTGTTTTTGCCTTTTTTGCATTTATGTTTATGCGCTTTGGAATAAGGAGGGCGGGCGATATGATACAAGAACCTTCGAAGAAGCCGTGTGAAAAATATACAAATTCAACAGAATCAATTTTGTTTCTCTTATTTTCTAAGACATTGTTTCACTGCCTTCAAAAAAATTTTTTTTTATATTTCTTGCATCATCATCATTTGTATATGAGGTACGAGACATTCAGAGAGATTTTTTAGTATGGTGATGATGATAATTATAAAGACTAAGTTTACAGCCCTCTTTTTTTAAGTTTGTGCTCAGAAATTCTTATTAAATTTGCATCCAGCAATTATGAATAAATTAATAATTATTTCTTCTTGAAATTTTGACAGGATATCCAAGGCGTAAAAGACTGTGTTTGATGAATTACAGACTAATGTGCATAAAATGTGTAATGCTTTTTTTTGTAAACTTAGTTTAATTTAATTATCATACAACATTGTTGCTTAATAAAATATCAACTTCAGGGAGATCCAGACACAATTAAAAGTCACGCAATATGCAAGCATGTAGTAAGAAATAACGCTTTGTAAAGTCATTTGTGTCAAATTCTTATGTAGGGTTTAATAAAATTAAGTATTTGCATGAGTTGGAAACTTTGTAAATTACACAAATCCAGGGGTGCCAAACAGCAATACTACCGTTAAATTCAAAAAGATTTGAATACACACTAACACTACCATACATTTTCAAAAATGAAGATTGATAAAAATCAACTTAATTACAACTGGTTCTTGGTTCTTAATATGATTACTAGCTTGATTAAGGTTAAATTATTGTAATTGAGCAGGGGCGTAGCCAGGGGGGGGGGCATAGGGGGCCCGGGCCCCCTCTACGAAAATCTGATAATTGTTTTATTAAGTATTTATAGAGAAGAACCAGTTAACGTAGAAGAAGTGATGAAAGAAATGTCAAAATCAGCACAAAAAATTATGAATTAAATATTTAAACTTATGAAGAATGAATATAGATTTAAGGATACAAAATAACGGTTTTTTAATTTTCGAAAATGGGCCCCCCCTTAAAAATTTTCTGGCTACGCCCCTGTAATTGAGTGTTCTGGATGCAGTTAGGGTTGTTGATTTGTTGATAAAATGGATAAAATGCAAATTTTCTATTCCAACAAAATAATTTTTATGGAGTGCGTTCAGAAATTCAATTTTTTTAAATTTAACGGAATAATAAGATTGTTTTTTGATTTCTAAACACAAAAATAAGGACCGTTCTCCACCCCTGGACACAAATGATTCGCCACATGAAATTTCTCAAAATAATGTAAGTCACAGTTTCTGTTAAAAATTAACCAAACAATCACCATCAATAAATATCGTTAAGTATCATTAATACCTCAAAATAAGCCTTCAAATTATCGAGGAAAAAAAAAATTTTACAATCATGTGTAATACCGCCCAGTTTCCAACTCAACAATTTTCATCAAATTAATTTAATTTACCTTGCTCATCACATTCGCTACGGTCGGATGGAATGTCACTATTGTTGCCGAAGAATTGCTGATACAATGGATGCTTCATTGGTGATGATGGCTTATATTTTGACATGGTGAAGTCAAGAGGCTGTTCACTTATATCACTACTTTCACAAATATTGTTCAAATTTTTTATTGCACTTTGTGCGACCATCAGTATTGGCATAATTTTATGACTGCGTCAAATGTCTTTTATATTTTACTAATTTTTTTCTAATGCGGAGTTTAATGATTAATTTTTCCAGCACATACTTATCGCATGATATCAGTTTGTATTTTAAACAGCACAATAATTCTCGTATTAACGTCAATTAAACTTCAAAAATTTCCTTATCGCACTTGTATTTCATTTTACCACGAAAGATGAATGTTTTTCCTTTGAAATATAACAAAAAAAAAATGGAAATTAATCAATCTGATAACGGGCGCCTTAGCTTATCATAAATAGTGATTGCTCCACCTCACATCTAGTCGAGAGGTGACGAAGTTTCGAATGATTTGGCAATTTTTTGTTGACAAGTATTACTTGATTTTTTTTTTTTGGGGTCGTAAATTTTTATTATTAATTCTTTTTGAAACTTTATATCCGCTGTTTATTGTCCACTTCATTAATCATCGGTATTTACTCATTTTTTGTGGTTTGGGTATGATAAATTATGGAGAATTTAAGTTTGTCGAAATTTTAATATTTTGGATCATAGTTGTGATCTGTCACAGGCAATCACCTGTTAACAGACAATTAATATGACAGATCTGTCACCTGTGCCTGTGACAGATCTGTCACATGTGCCTGTGACATGCAACCTGTATCGCAACTCTGTTTTGGATAATTTCAATACCAGAACTACTTACTTTACTACCCAATAATTGCCAACATATCTCATGACTCCACCTAATTCTAATAATATCAAGTCCATAATGCAAATAAGAATATTCAATTACAACCTTTCATAATCATCGTTCAACTTGTCAGCGTGGAAAAATAAATATTTTAGTGCTAAGTTGCGGTACGTTTCACACGAGCTGTTTACATGTAATCGTGGCACTATTGAGATATTGCGCGGTCTGATATTATAAATATGATTGAAACACAGAAAAAAATTTTATTACCAAAAATACATATTTTCCATTATCAGTTACCAATAGGGGTTCCAGAATTCCCGTTCCCGTAAGATTTCGGGAATCAAGAACGGGAACGGGAATGATGTCCGGGAACGGGAATATTCCCGGGAATCAACAAAGAAAAAAAAAATTAAAAGCTACACTTACATCATGTATTTTATTTAAGTTTTTAAATCAAATTTGAATTCTATTTGATTTGATTGTCAAATTGATTCTTTTGACAATAATTTCCGTTTAAAATTCAATTCTTTTTGGTTTTAGAACAATTCTTAAATACGATTTTAAAAACCTGATTGCATTAACGTGCTGGTCTAGCAATCTATAACTGTAAAATGCTTCCAAACCCAAGACATCCTAATTTATTGACTTCTGATAATCTACGAATATGTACATGATTAAATTACAACTTATGAACTGATTTTTTGATTACTTACATATTCAATATTAATTTCAAGCACATTTTTTATTTTGGAAAAATTACTTTAGTCCAATTTCAATTAAGTTTATTATTTTGTGGACATCATACATTTAAAAAAATATTTTTTTTTTAATACTTTCATATTCACACAAAATTTTCAATTTTTTCTCTTTGTTTTTCATAAATATATGTTTTTGATTTAAAAAACATCAAATTTGAGTTTAATATTTCAACTCTTAAATTCCTTAACGTATGTTTTCATTATTATTATAATTTTTTTCTTTAAATTGTAGTTTTTTCATGAAAGATACAACCAAGATATATAGATGGGCTCATACAGAGTATACTTGACCATACTCGACCATACTATTTTTTGTGTACTTATACAAACAAAATTTTTTAAAATTTTCTATTTTCAAGTTTTCATTTAAATATTGACAGATGCAACAACATTTGACTTTAGTCAGTTACTTTTAATTATAGCAAAGCATTTGCAATACTCCTGTATCAACAAAACTTAACAGAAAGTTGAAAATTTTGCGAAACAAAAATTGAAAATTTTCTTTTATAGTGTTAGTGTTTTTAGAAAATTCAAATTTTTGACGTTTAAAAACTGCGATATTTTTGTATGAGCACATCTATATATCTTGGATACAACATAAAAAAAAATCTAATTTGAATTGTCGGTTTTTTGGTATGAAAACGGGAATTTCGGGAATATTCCCGACAGATTTTCAGGAAACGGGAACGGGAACGGGATTCCCGTTCCCGGGAATTCCCGGGAATATTCCCGATTTTAGAACCCCTAGTTACCATGAAGACTGACTTGTTGTTCGACTTTCTGAGAGGACTTTAAAATATTTTTCAATGTAAATATTTGTTCGATTTTAAAATAACTTCTATATTTTCTATTTGATTTATCGAATGTGTACTTCTTTATCAATTTACATAAAATTCAATTTAAAGTAAAATGTTTGTCACTCTAGTTAACTTTCGTTCCTCTTATCAGTGTGATTGAAGTTCCATTTAAAAGAAAAAAAAAATATTATTGTAAGTAAACAAGGTAGAAATTTGGTTTTTTGGCACAGCAACATATGTAGATCTGATTTGGAAGTACACAGAACAGAAACATACAAATTATTTCTCCTTATCGTCCATAAATCACTTGTCAACACGAACAAGTTCTCAATTTATGAAATTAGATTGATTTACAGGTACTAGGTGCGTTGACAGAGTTGTAGATCAGGTGATCAACATAGAAGAGGTACTAATGGGTTGCATCTTTCAGGAGTAATCCTTAAAACACGAGTCAAAATGGTTAAATTTAAATTTTCAAAAAATAAATTTATGGCGTGCGTTTAGAAATTCAAATTTTGACTTTTAACCAGAAAATAAAGTTGCTTTTGATTTCTGAACACATAAGAATAAGGACCATTTGCCATTAGGGGTCGTTCACTTATGACGTCCGAAATTAACGGTCATTTTTCAAAAAAGAACAATAGATTTCCTGGAATTTCTATTGTTCTTTTCTTGCTGACCCCCCCCCCCCCCCCTGGACGTCATAAGTGAAGATAAACTTGCATCTCCTAATCTGTAGCCCCCATGGTATTAATCAATGGACCAATCTTTCAAGCTACTATGCCACAAAACTATAAAAATTCTCCTTTCCTTTATAAGTCATTACAGGATCTGTCTACACCGCTGTCAGATACAGAAAAATCTGAAATCAACACGTGGACGCATGTTAGCCTGTTAACCCAAAAATAGAAATATCTTCAATGAAATTTTTGCACTATTCGCTCTCACTCGTTCTCGTCAAAAAAAAAAAAAAAAAAACAAAACAACAAGAGCCAAAGTAAGTAGCAGTAGCAAGCAGAAAAAACACTGCTCGTAAATCGTTCTGCTCGCTTTTACGCACAGACATCGTAGTGTTTTTTTTTTCTATTTAGTCTTATATGTCTGCCTCCTCTTCCCTGTGAATAGAGAAAGAGAGACGACGAGAAGGGAAAAAAGAAATTCTACCATCTTAATAAAGCTTTTCGTAATTAAAGTTGTAAGGGGGATGAATGGAAATGAATGAGAAGAAAATGAGAGGAGACGTTTGTTTGTGGCATTAGGCGAACTTTAATATTATCGATTTTTGCTCGTATTATTTCTTATTTCTGTTTTTTTTTCGGCTGGATGCTGCATGTTCTTTATATACTTTTATTCTCGCCATTCAATTCTCGTCTAGATTTTCCCTCACTCACATATGGAGAGTGATGATTAGTAGAGCAATGACTATTTAATTAATTCTCAATGATTCTTTTTTTTCGTTCTATCGTGAATCAAATGGTTGTTGTTTGTGAATGAAATTTCTTATGTTGACGGTAATGGTCAATCGCTTGGCTGTTTATTGATTTAATGTTTCATAGACTGAAGATTGTCTTTAACTTAAGAATAAATAGAGCATTTATGAATGATTGTCTAGTTCAGTGATTTTTAAACTTTGATCTGTGAAATACTTTTGTGTCGGAGTGCTAAAACAGGTATATTAGACTATTCTCAAACATACAAATCTTAAATGATTGTAAGAATTCTATAAATATTAGTTATGTTCTTTATATTCTAAGGAAACTCTTCAAATAGGTTCAAATATCAAATCGCACGCATCATATCAACTAACATTATATCTCATTAAATTCAGCTTTTGTATCGCAACCATCGACCATGATTTCTTTTAAGATTTATTTTCAAAATTTAAAGTTTAAAATCAAAATTTAAAGTTTAAAATCAAAATTTAAAAATTTATGAATAATTATTAAAACTATGAAATCAACTGTATTTTTAACAAAGAATTCATGAATTCTTATTAAGAATAGCAGCTTTCCATGAGAAAAACTAATTGAAATGTCAAAGTTTCTTTAAGATCGTGAAAATTATGATAATTTATGCTGAATATTTTAAAAATTTGGATTCTACAAAATCAAAATATGCCAATTTATAGATCATGATCTTACATAAAGGTTTCTAAATAGTTCTTTTTGGATTTGACAATCACAATGCTTATTTATTAATAAGTTTAATTAAAGACTATTTACAGACTTAAATTATTAACTGCGATGATTATTCTTCAGTGATCAGAAACAGATTGATAATTCTATGAAGGTGCTATCAACTATACAAGCAGAAAACAACTAAATATAGTTGCAAATACAATTTAAATATTAAATGACAGTTGATTAATTCAACAGTTCTTTACAATATATCTTAATAATATTGAAAGTTCACTTTGCAATCAATAATATTAAACTTGTTGATCATTTTTTCAAAATTAATTCAAGTTTAAAATTTTAATCTATGCATAGCTTTGAGAGCTTAGCTTTCTGGCTTGTTTTAGTTCTTGAATAGATTCAAGAAATTTAATTAAAGCTTAAAATTTTTTTTTGTAAGAAAGAGTCTTAAAGGAGACTAATGTCTCATTGATCTCTTTCATAGTTTTAGTTATTCAAATAATTCATGTAAACAGTAGATAGTTAAGAATATATGTAATCTCCAAAAAGGTTTTTTATGCCTTCTTAAACAGTTTAAGTACTGTTTGAGGAGGCTTTTTCCTTTGCGTGGAGAGTAAGTATAAAAAGTTAAAATTTTAAATAAAAGAAAAAAAAAAGATTCATCAAAACTCAAAAGCTCGAATCAATAGAACTTTTTATAAATTTATAAATGTCACAAAAAAATTCAAAAATTAAAATTCACTATTAAAAAGACAAATTGCGCCAACTTAAAAATAATCGCATAATAATTAAATTACATTTAAATTCGGCTTCAATTGATCATCATCACATGGTCCACAAATTATCCTCCTTATTCAATTTCACTTTCGCCACAATAAAATAATTGTCTTTATATTTTTTTTTAAAAAAAAATACTAATTAAATTGTTCACAAATGTTGTTCACTATTGTCTCAATATTGCATGGTAGACATACATTAATAACATAATGTCAATCAATTAATTTAAATTAATTAATTTAAATAGTCCAACAATCAACATCACACTAATGGCTATGGATGATTGTAATTAACAAATTTTATTATTTATTTATTTTTTATAATCTTTCACGCCTCTCGCAACAGTTTGTTCGATGCGTTTTCGACCGAACGGCAAGTTGAACTAAACGCGCTCTACAAAGTATTGAAACTCCCGCTATAGGTATGTTTAAAAATATAAAATAAAAGATAGCGAAGCATTTAAATAACATAAAAGTACGTACCAATACAACGTTAAACGCGGTCCGCGTTCGGTTTCTGATATTAAACATCTTCTTTTATTTATTTCGTTAAGAAAAAGCGCTTTGATAAAATAAAAATACAAAATCACGAATAAATTTACAATTTCATCTGCCGCTCTTAAACTTATTTTTAATGAATTTACATTTTTGACTGTATCGGTATGGATACACAAACAATTTGCCGTAATTCGAGCACTGAGCAGCACAAAAAAAAAGTTTTTTTATAAAAATTGTTGATTTTACTGATATTCTTTGCGAAGCACTTGAGATGATATTTTATATTGGACACGACAACAACACAATGGCACATACGAATATGTATATTACAGCTTCTCGCATGATAAATGATAAGACCGACATCTACGACATTCATATGTGATTTTTTTTTTATATTCACTCACATCACATGCTTGCCCGTTTTTCTACTTTCAAGCATTTTTGCCATCAACATTTAAAATTATACACTTTTTATATTCGTGTGTAGTGGGGAGACACAATAAAAATATCCAATCAAATTTTATAATTTAATGTGCGCGATTTATGTGTGCGCACGTTTTTTTTTTTTATTTCGGAACAAGAAAAAAAAATTATTCAAAAAAAAAGTATACACAGGCACAACTACATGCGCATGCAATGGGAGCTTTGAGAGTTTTTCCACACACAGTTTTGAGTCTGCTTTTTTTTACTTTTCATTTTAAAAAAAGAAGAGAGCGAAAAAAGTTTTCGTTTGACGATTTATGTAATGTAAAGTGATGTGTTGTATGAATAAATGAAAAGTTTATATTTTTATATGTGCTGTAGCTGGCAGAAATGCTTGCGTGGTTTTCTTCTCTCTTTTTTAAATGTCATAAATTTTTAATTCCTTTGAAATGTTGCGATTAATTAAAAATTGATATTTTTGGTACTTATCGTAATTTTACGTAAAATAAGCTATGATAGGAGATAAAAATTTGAAGTAGAATTAATTTGATTAAGTTTTTTTTTCTTTCAGAATGTTATAAAAAATTACGATTTTGTTGAAATTCATTGTTTGATGGAAAAACTAAATTCAGAATTTCTTTTGGGCCTTATTTTTGTGTTTTAAAATCAAAAGAAATTTTTTTCCGTTAAATTTCAAAATTTTGAATTTCTAAACACACGCCATAAAAATTTTTATTTCGAAAATTGATATTTTATCAAATAATTTATGTCTTTAAATGCCTCCTGAACACTAAAGCATATTGAGTAAAGCTTAATCATATTTAAACCGAAAAATAGTTGAAATTAAGTTAATCTTTAGAAAATAAATTCAATGTTTATTTTTGGAAAATGTTTCATATTGTTAGTGTTGATTCAAATGTTTTTGAATTTAACGGCAAGACTAATGTCATCTCTGGCTTTTGGGGATCAAAAGTTTAATTTTTCGCAGATTTGTTGAGATGATTTATAAATATGAATCGCTGATGTTAAAGTTGATATTGTTCATGTTCATGTTTGCTGAAGATTCATGTTTGACAGACTTTTCGAAAATTCTTAGAATTTTTCAATATGCAAGTTCGAAAAATTTAAATTTCAAAATATTGAATATTGAATATTGAGGTTTATGATAATTTTGGAAACTGTTCATTTAAGCAATTCTCAATAATTATTTTGAACATTTGAATCAATTTTTCTGATTAATTAAAATTGAGATTGTTTTATCAAAATCATTCTAAAGTTAGCACTCATAATTTAATTTTACCTTCGTCAGGTGTTTAAAAATATCAACAGCACTTCAAATCAAGCTAATCTCGTTTCACCCACCAGACTAAGACGGTTTTTTGATAATTTTAGACTCGCTTCAAGTGAATAACAGAAGATTTTCATTGAATTTATGTAGGTTTAAGACCATATTTTGCCTAACTTGCGCAACGAGTGCAAATTTTATTTTTGATGATAAGGATTTCGTGTTTTTATGAATGGATTGATAACAAATTTGACGAAAAGGAATTAAAATTGTATAGTAACAAAGATTAATAAATTTTTAAAATCGGATGTGATGACGGAATTTAATGAAAGTAAATTGATATTTAATAAATATTGTTGTTTGGAAATGAATCACCTGAACTGATTTGGAAGCTTTACGGAGTTTAAAGTTCATTGTTCAAATTATCAGTTATGTCATATTTGATTAATACTCAGGACATGTTAATAAAAGATTTACGCACCAACGACATTGATTTCTTGATTGTTTACAAATAATAAGCTAAAAGGACTTTATTACTCTTTCGGAAATTCCAAGATTTCAGACTATTTATCAACACAACAAACAGAAATTTCCTATATTTCCTATTTTCTTCTTCTTGATGTCATTAGCCTCATTGATAAAATATTGAGTAGTACTCTTGAACTGATGTAATTAGTAAATGCCAAATTCTGATATTTATTCACATCGAAACACGTCTACGATACGTCTGTTAAATCAATACTCTAGATCTATGTACATAGAAAGTAAGATACATAAAAAGTAGCTTTAATAACACATAGTACATAGATTTTCGTCATTTACTGCTGTATAACTACTGTTGCTGCCAAAAACTTTTTTTTTCTCCTTCAACTCTCGTTCATTTAAGATGAAATGAACTTGAAATATATGTGACTGGCCACCACAACATTCATTCAATTTCATGCTGCAAAAATAAAAGCTTTACTGAATCTTTAGTACATGATATTGTAGGTCAAAGGCGAATAATCGATTTTTATTAATACATAGCAAAATGAAATGGATGTGTGTGCTATGTGTGTGCTCGCCTGTGATAAATAAAAATGTCAGTGAACTAAAATAGCTATAGAACGTAAGAGAAAAGCACATAGAATGGATATCAAAATGTTTTTTGGTCTTCTTCTCATTGATTCGTGTAAAAATGAGGGAGAGAAAGATAGAGATAGAGACTATATAGTGGAAATCTTTAGTTTTTCTCTCATATGTTGGGTGGCAAAAAGTGACGCAGTAAATGAAATGATCTGTGAATAGTTGGACATGTTCGTGTTTGAATATGTAAGCATTATTATAGTCGTAAAATATATGATTCGATTGCTTTCTTCTTCTTCTTCTTGCTCTTATCAATTGGCAGGAAATTTCATAACCATGATACGATTAGAATGAATGAGCTAAATGAATTAATTTATGGCTATATCGAATGATTATTGAAGTTTTTTTATACAAAATCTTGAAACTTATAAGTTTATGATAGGCAAGTTGAGAAAGAATTTAATATTTTTGAGTGATAAACGACTTTGATTGAGCGTTTAGGCAGTCTAGAAATTTGCCATATTAGAATCAACTGAGCAAGTGCTTCTGTGAAGTAATCGTTAAGGCTTCTAGCTAGGCCTAGCTCAAATTTGGGAAAAATAATTCAATGTTTGTCAGTTCGAATCCTAAATTAATTTAATTTGTTACAAAAATCTCCCGAAAAAGCTAAGCATTTGTATGCTTTCCGGGTACTGAGAAGTCTCGATCTCGGTCTCGAGAATGTGTCCTGGAAGTACGCGGGCAGAATATGTCTAATCGACTTGAAACTTAGCCTGAATTAGTCGAGACCGAGAAATCGAGAAAGCATAAGCATTTGCTATTTCTCAATAAATGCTAATCGTTCTAGAAAAATATGGCTCAATATAAGGCTAGACATTCTTATCAGTAAACCTTAATTCGATTCTGACTCACGTGAAATAAAAATTAGAAATGTAAAGTCGCTAAGCTCTTTTTTTCACCTTAGTCAAAATTATGAATCATCATTCGTTGCTTTAAAAAATTAATTACTGTATTTATATTGCAAGCTAATTGCTTAGTGCGATAAAAATACAGAAAAAAAATTACATAAAAATTGATTATTAAAAATAAAATTGTATTACGTTAACATTAACATTAAAAATTTAGGAAAATGCTTCCGAATGCTCATTAAATAGAATCGAAAAAGAGCCGATAATATATATTTTAGCTATTGTAATGTTTAATTAGTTAACCCGAAACAAATTGTTAATGAATATTATGAAAGAGAAAAAAAAAATAGAAAATGTTTAAAAATACTTTAATTAACAATCAATATATTTGCTTATGTTTCAGGGATTTCTTAAATTATCAATTAGTTTATAATAATTAATTGCTTGTTGTTCATTGTTAATAATTAAAGTAAATGAGGAAGAGTGAGATGGAATGATAACAGGAAAAAAACAATAAAATGTGCTTACAAGCTTTATGATAAAATATTTAATTTTAAGTTTTCAAATCATTTTTGTTGTGGAAGCAAATTGAATAAATGACATCTGCCTTACTGCTGTTGGATGTTATTAAACTGCTGATTCTCAATCCTTATGATTTTCTCACTATAAAGCTCATCCAAAATGAGCAAAAATTTTTTCTGAATTTTTTCAAATCTCCACAAAATTTACATCATTAACGGTGTGAATATGCTTATAAAGCACAGTCCGCTTCATTACTAGTTTACACGTATATTCAATTTATTGATAAGTATAATTTCCGATAACCAAAAAATTTTATTATCATGTTTCAAGGTACATTTTCAAGCGATATGTTAGTACGAAATTGAAAACACTTACGTTTTTAGACAGAACCGTTTAATTAATTGATTAAAATGTAAACTGGGTGTTCTTATGAAATATTGTTCGCTTTGTTTTGTGTCGTTATTTTGTTTTTTAAGAACTTGATTATAATTATTTGATAAGATATTCTGAGAGTTTTGTTGATTTTTCGAGAAATTTACTTTTAAAATGAATGTCGCATTCAAATGAGTCATTGTTTTCTTTTTATTAATTATATGAAAGTCTTACAACTCATTTTAATAAAACTCAGGATTATAATGCAACTTTCCGTTATTTTTTAAAATTTTAAATTTCCCGCACTTATTAACGAGTTTGTTTACAAAAGAAAATAAGTTCGAAAAACATTCGAAATGCAAAACTACAAATTTTTCTTTAATTAATGCTTTTTGATATTCTAATATGACTTTAATGGCAATACTTGACGTCTAGTAACGATTTAAATAACTTAAGGACACGTAATAAAGTCAAAATTAGAGGAATAAAGTGGAACAAAGTTTCAATTTAAAATGTAAACAAACCAAATTTTCTGGCTTCAAAGAATAAGCTTCTAGAGAAAACAGATCAACAAGACATCAACAAGGAGATACAGATGAGGAAGTACGGATGGATTAAACAACCAACACTCCATAAATCATTGACAGAGAGAGTGTCATTGCTGGGACAGAAACAAAACTTTGTTACAACGCCCTTGGTTAGAATCCGAAAGGGAACATAACCTAAAAGCTACCTGCCGCAAAACAGTGATGAAAGAATGTCAGCTTAACTTAATTCTCAAAGTTTTAAAAATGATGTGGAAAAATTGAATTCAACATAAATCTGATATCAGCAAGTTAAGTGGACTTACTTGGGTTTCCAATAAAAGATTAAAGTCAAATTCAAACGCAAAAACATTTCAAAAAATTCCAACAATTGTTCCTGATACCTAATGGGTTTTATTAATATTTCTGGTGTTTTCAATTTCGCCAGCTTGACATGATAACAAAACATGCGTCATTTTTTTTTTCATAATATCGGTTTAAGAGGAATCGGAAAGAAACAATAAAGTCATTGCCGATAAAGTTAGAGAAACGGAAAAAGGTGATGTTTGTTCCAAAAGTAACTTAATGAATTCAAATTCTTTATCATTTTGCTATCACGAAAACTTCCTTATCAAGCTTTGGTGGTCATGTACCTTTATCAATACTTCTTAAGTACATGAAAATTTTTAAAGTTTAATCACATGATATTTTCAGTTCTGACTCACATTTAGTTGCTATTCAGAAACATATCATTTGATTAATTTTTATTTTTGTGAACTACTTTATTTTTTAAAGCCTCCTCTACATCCGATAAGACGTCACTTAATAAAATTTAA